ATATAACTGTCATTTTTTTAACAAAAAATGCATGATAAAAATAAAAATATTAATCAATATTCTATAATATTAATAAAAATTAAGGGAGAATGATAAGTAATGACCTCAAAATAAGAGTACTATCAAGTTAAATTTTTTAAAAATTTTACTAATGAAAAATAACAAAATACTACTCCTTCCGTTAAAAAATATAAAGCATTTTTGAGAAGTTATATGTTTAAAAATATGAACTATTTTTAGTCTTTTGAGGTGTAATTACTGTTCTTTTTAAAAGTACCCTTATTAATGAATAATTTTATATTTACTGTAAGGTATTTAATAGGGATAAATATGAAAAAATAATATTAGTTTAAAAATAGATAATATTCTATTGAGAGGTAAAATTTAGTCAAAAATGTCTTATATTTTTTAATGGAGGGAGTGTTAAATTTAAAAATTTTATTTTCAAGGTAATTTTGACTTGAAATTAATATTTTTATAAGTATTATTTTTTATTAATATTAGAGTACACAGTATTAATAGATATGAATTAATTGTGAATGAATTTTTACTTGACATTAATATTTTTATAAATACTATATTACGCTACATTATGTTAATAAACAGGAATATATCAATGTTCTATATAATTAATTATATAGTACTGAATCTTTTCTATTTTTTATTATCTCTTATTATATTACATTTATGAAAAATAATATCTTTCTCAAGACATTATTTGCTACTCACCGTATTTCAATATCCAAGGGGTCGCCCCCTTTTGCCTTTAAAAGGTCCACTTTCATCGCCTTTTTTCCACAGCTACTGTCTTGATCTTCTTCCTGTTTCTCAAAAACATCACGGCAAAATGGGGTTGTCTAGATCGTCGAAGGCCATGATCCTACTGTTGTTCACGGTCTTCACTGCGTCTTCGGCCTTGGATATGTCCATAATCTCATACGACCGAATCCACCCCGATAAGTCAACATGGAGGACGGACGACGAGGTCATGGCAATATACGAGCACTGGCTTGTGGAACATGGCAAGGTCTACAATGCTCTGGGCGAGAAGGAGAAGAGGTTTGAGATTTTCAAGGATAATCTGAGGTTCATCGATGAGCACAACGCTGAGAATCGGACCTACAAAGTTGGGTTGAACCGATTCGCCGATCTTACCAACGAGGAGTACAGGGCCAAGTACCTGGGAACCACGATCGATCCCCAGAGGAGGATTGCCAAGACGAGGAGCAACCGTTACGCTCCACAGGTCGGCGACAAATTGCCGGAATCTATTGATTGGCGGAAGGAAGGTGCGGTCGTCCAAGTCAAAGATCAAGGAAGTTGCGGTAAGTCCGTATTTGTTTTATTCTTAATGAAATTTAACTTTTCCTGATTAAATTTATTTATTTATTTTTTTGGTCTTTTCCTTTTGAATGATCTAGCGGTCACTCCCTAATCTTGGATACAATCAAAAGCCGGCACTTGCTATGTTAGGATCATTAATCCCTTGATATCTTGTAAGAGAATTCTTTAGGACTTGTCTCTTCGATCACAGACTGGAATAGTTCATGGTTGAAGAACAATAAACAAAAATCCTGGAAAAATTAAAAAACGAGAGAATTTGTTACACTGGCAAAACTGTATGTTTGGTCCCTAAGAGAATACTATTTTCTCAACTTGATCTTTCATTGCTAAAACAAGTCAGTTAAGTCTGATATATGATCACTCTATTCTCAAGCTGATCCTTCAAAACAAAGCTACTCCATTTACTCTGAAAATTTTATTCTGGTCAGTATAGCCGTTCTTCTGTCGAAAAATAGGATCTCATTATAGCTGGATTGTAGCACTTTAAATATTTATTGGAGGGACCTTTGCTAGTTCTCTGAGATAACCACTCTTATTCTTGGTAATCTTAACTTCCGGAGATTAGATAAAGGTGATTGAGTAACTACTATATTTTGATCATTTTATACAGAATAATTCATGGAAGGAAAAATCATTTACCCCACACCCAATGTTAGTCAATAATATGATTTCTGTTTTCTCCTATTTGTAAATAGCAACTTTATGATTACCGCATTTTCGTTGCTATTTCACAATGTTTGAATTATCCTTTTGTATTGATATGCTTTTAAACAAGAAGATTGCTTAATCATGGTGCCCAAAGAACTATCATGCATAGCGAATTTTATATATGCGGAGGATTGCTAGTAAGTCATTGATTTAATCTTGAGTGAAGGGAGTTGCTGGGCATTCTCAACCGTAGCTGCAGTGGAAGGAATAAATAAGCTAGTGACAGGCGATCTAATTTCACTGTCCGAGCAAGAACTGGTGGATTGTGATACAAAATATAACGAAGGGTGCAATGGGGGATTAATGGACTATGCCTTTGAGTTCATCATCAACAATGGTGGCATTGACACTGAAGAGGATTATCCCTACCGTGCTGTTGATGGCCAATGCGACCAATATAGGGTCAGTCTACATTCTGTTATTATCTGGGACAGAAAATTGTTACCCCTCTAATACTTAATGTGTTGCTGACATTTCTACAGAAAAATGCAAAAGTTGTGGCAATTGATGGTTATGAAGATGTTCCTGTCAATGATGAGAAAGCATTGAAAAAAGCTGTTGCAAATCAACCAGTGAGCGTTGCAATTGAAGCAGGTGGCAGGGAATTTCAGTTATATGTATCTGTAAGTTTCTCAATTGATTCATTTTCTCAAGCTTTTAGGAATATTCAAAGCATGCTTCATATATAGACGCATTGTCCGTTATGGTCACTCTAATTATGACGAATGATTTGATCTGCCCATCCTTTGAGGAATTAGCTACATCCTACACGACATCACAAAAGTCATTCTGAGGCTATTATAAAGAATCCTTTAATTAAGAGATCTTTTGGGATAATTTCTTCTTGCTGTCCAGTTAGTACCTGCGCAATCTTATTAGGCTTTGCTCCATTTGGTCAGGGTATATTTACGGGAAGATGTGGTACGGCATTAGATCATGGTGTTACGGCTGTTGGTTATGGCACGGAAAATGGTGTGGATTATTGGATTGTGAAGAACTCCTGGGGATCAAGCTGGGGTGAGGAAGGGTATGTTAGAATGGAGCGTAATGTGGGCACAACCAATACGGGCAAGTGTGGCATTGCGATGGAAGCCTCCTATCCTACAAAGAAAGGCCTAAATCCCCCAAACCCTGGACCGTCTCCTCCCTCACCGGTGAAGCCACCCACTGTTTGTGATAGTTACTACAGCTGTCCCGAGAGCACTACATGCTGCTGCGTGTATGAGTATGGAAAGTATTGCTTTGCCTGGGGATGCTGCCCTCTGGAGGCTGCCACCTGCTGTGAAGACCACTACAGTTGCTGCCCTCACGACTATCCCATCTGCAACATTGACGCCGGCACCTGTCTTATGGTAACACAACCGAAAGTTCTTCAGTCGTAATTATTATTGGCTACTACTGGATTCTTTTTGTTCACGTTGATGATATATATCTTAACTGACATTCTCTGTACTGCAGAGCAAGGACAACCCGTTTGGGGTGAAGGCGATGAAGCGCACTCCAGCTAAACCCTATTGGGCATATAGAAAGAAGAGCAAGACAAGCACTGCTTGAGCCGACGGATGAATGATGAAGGAGTGGATGACCTAGTCAAAGGAGGATGGAGGAGCGTATTACATATTCTTTTCCTTTAGATTCATCATACTGCCCATTAGACGGTCATTTCGGACATTTAGATACCAATTGATGAATGCTTTGTCAAATTTCAGGATGTAACTTCCTGGTGTAAATAGCGTTCTATTTACGGGTTGCATTGCTTTCCAACAAACATATTGGTTGTCGTGACTTTCGAACTTAAGTAGATTCTGTGATCAAGTACCGATGGTGGATGAATTTCTTTTCTGCTCATATCCTATTTTTTTCTCTGGTTATAGGCTATAGCGTCGTATAAGTTTCAACGAAAGAAAGCCTCAACCTTCTCAGGTTTAATTGTGCCGTCAATTTAGCAAGCGACTCAATTGTTATGCCCCCCTTAATCGAGGAAGGAAATAATGTGGAAGAAGATATTGGCTAATATTACGTTGTTTGCAGATATCTTTTGTTCAGTGGTCTGCATGTGGATGAATAGGAATTTAGATGCCCTGAATTGTGTACGTAGTATTTTAGACGAAGGGTAGAGACAAGGAGATGAAGAATTACTTGTTTCCTCTCCTTCTCATTTTATTCTTTCATTTTCGACCTCACTAAACGCTTGGATGAGTGATCCCGATGCTGAAAATCAAATGCTCTTCCAGTTCTTATTTAACCATGTAAAACTCATTTCTATGTCTCTTTACTTAATATGGCTGGAGAGGAGTCTCTTCAATTATTTTTATTCCTGAAGACAAACAGTGCCAAGTTAGATGAGAAAGTGGACTGTAGATAACGTCAAGCGCTAAAAGACAAATTTAAATATAGAATAGGTGAACAAGAATCACGTCGTTTCTTTCAAATGATATCTTAAATTCTTAATGGAGTTTGAAATTAAGGAAGTGGGCGCACAAGAATACCTATTCTTATGCTCCGGTTGTCTTAGAAACATGGTAGTTGTGTTGGGGGACCAGGGAGGGGCGAAGAACTAATTGTCGCCCCAGACAACTTGATTCAGAATTCAATTATGTTCGTTTCATTTCGTTTTCGTCACCCAGCCCACATGACGGACGCCCCCCTTTTCAGAGTGATGGATCATGGTGTCCAGCCCCACCATGCCAGCCAGCTCGTGCTCGAAGAAGATTTTCTTTGAGCCAATATCTCTTCGCGATCATAATTCATTGAATCCATGATAATTACCTTACTTGGGCATTAACAAGTTTTTTGAGATTTTTGGATTTCACCTGTAATTGTAAAGCTTTCCTAAATTCCCAACCATGCGCCCCTCCTCCCTTTAATTAAGAGGAAAAAGAAAAGAAAATTCTGTTTCAAATTATTAGCTTGAAGGCAGCACCGAATATTTTCTCCGCGAAAAAAGATGGGCGAAAATTTGTACACAGATTATATTGCAAGAAGCAACAGATAATACTCACACACATTCACAGATGGAAGCTAACAAGGCGTCGCTATGATGGAATGTCTGAAGACACATAGATAAACCACCTAAACGCAAAAGCCAGGTACCGGGACAAACAATTAAGAGCCTTTGATGAGGTCATTTTCGACTCAAATACCAACTCCGCTGCCACTCTGTCTTGCTACTCTAGATCAGAAGTGAAGGAACCGTTCTGATCACCTCCGTTAGTGTAGCGAAATGCGCACTCTTCAACCTTCACTCTGTGGCCTGGGCCATTAATCCTAGCGTCATGAAGAAGTGTAATATAATTATAGGAAGGAACTACAGAGGAATTCTTAGGCACCGAGGGCAGGGGAGGAGGCAGTGGCCACATGGGTGGCCCTGCTGCTCCGTCCTGTGGTGAATTCCAGCCCAAGTTGGTAGATTTCCTGGAAGCGTAGTTTGGTGTTTCGTCAATGAGCCTTTTCGCTCCAATTACTTGATTCATATTGTACAGAGAGAGAACCGTTTCATTGCTTTCCATCGTCTGGATGTTAGGTTTGAGGACGTAAGGATGTTGGATGGGCAGATATGGTCTTTGAATAGCGAAGACGCCGGGTACGCTCTGAAGGAAGCTGAATTTTCTCTGTGTGCTGATCACTAGACTGAAATCTTCCGCAACCTGAAGAACCCCATGAATTAATGACCCAGTTTTTGAAGTAAATTAGAAAGGAGATAGAGCAAGACCTTGTTAAGCGAACCCAATTGAACTATGCCTTCTCTCACTGCAATGACGACAATGGTCTACCAACAGAAGCAGCAGTTTCGTTAGCATGCACTAGTAGAGGAATAAATGAAACAAGTTTCCAGGCAGACATTGTTATTTATTTCTACTCGATATCCCAAGGTGTTTCTGTGAATGGTTTTACCTACCTTAATACCTGAATTGAACTGATATTCCCACGCCCTTGGTCGCTGTAAGTGCAAATAAAATACCAAACTTTCTATATTCAGGAGAAAGAATGAGCTGAAGAACTATCTTAATGATTTCTGTTTAACGTTAATTTCTCTTACAGGCTCAACTGAAGCATTCCATGAAGCGATGCAGCTAGGTTCAGACTCATTTGGACTGTCTCTGTGTACCCATTTGTGACTGTTGTCCGCAGCCACTCTCCCCACCAATCTGCACATAGATTACAGACGTCAAATGATCGAGTTAAGCTTCAGTTCCTTTTCTTTCATGTAAATATTTGTCAGACTGCTCTTCGAGAATAGAGGCAGAAATGCTAGATTAATTATGATAAGAAAATGTGATAGTGGAGCAAAGGCATGTATTCAACCCTTACCCCTCCCCATAACTGTAGACCTCATGTGACATTTTGAAGAACACGTCAGCTCCAAACTTTCCGTCAAGGTACCCACTCCTTGCTCTTTCGCATTCGTTAAAATCACAGAATCCATCTTCCCAAACCAGGATCCTACAAAGATCACCTCCTAGCAATTAAAAAACCATAATGACTTTTCATGTCCGGTTGGATTTGGCTAGCCTGTCAAAAGAAGTGAAACCATTCCTGTGATTGTCATAATTAGTTGACTATTACCAGTTTCTTTTATCTCCCTTGGATCGATCAAGATCAGTTCCTCCAAATTCCCACCTGTAACAGAAGAAACCGGTCTGCAACGTCAAAATTCGCTACAACTTTTCATGAAATGAAGCATTCCTTTGTTTACGCAGACAAAGAACTCTTTTGGAGTTTCAGTATGTTTTTTGTTCTGAATTAGTTCCATACCTTGGGGGAGGATAGTTTCGGGGCAAAATCCTCCAGAAGACAGCGTATACCCACTTAGAAGAAGTGGAAAAGTCTGAAGGTGAGCACAAGCTTCTCAGAGTATGCTGCAAGAGGCAATTAAGCAGGGGCAGCCCAGTTTCCATTTTCCCGAGGCAAGCACAGCCAGGAGTTACTGAGTAAAATGGGAGGGGAAGAGCTTGATTAAAAGGTACAGTGCTTTCTAAGTGAGGGTACCCACTTGAGCACCAAGTTAGGCGATCATGCTCCAACATTTAGATTTGTCCAAGACAGGATGATATTAGTAGTTTTAAGTGGGGCCTCCATATTCACATATATTTGCATCTTAATAATCATAAATATGATTATATCTCCTCTTCTTTCCCCCCTATCATTTAGTGCCTAATTGTGGGAGTTGATTCTGCTGAAGCCAGACAAGAAAGAAAATGAACAAGAAAACAACGGACTCCAGCAGACTTGCTTGATATGATAATGTCCCCCAATCTACCTAAGAGAGCTAGTCATAATACGGTAAAGGGAACACCAAATTGTTACTTGTTTCGCGCCTTCTGTCATTGTGAGGCAGGGAAACATCTAGTTAGTGTGTAATTAGGAGGGCGTATTGTATACTTGTCTCTAGTTGAAGTGGTCCTGTTAAAGGACCATCGACTTCATGACTAGTAGTTGCTTGAATTGGCTTCTTTTTCCCTGCGTGGAGCCCCCTGCTACAGGACACACCCACCCGTTCGGTTCTTAATCCAACATTATTACAAGTTAAGCGCTGTAGTTGGACAAGACACTAGTGTGTTGCAATCCCAGCCAATTTCTGTTGAAGTTAACGTCACTCGTCAACAATTAAAAATGAAATAAAGGAGACATCAGTTACGAACGAAAGTAGCATCTTCTAAGTGATCACTGGTCTAGTTATTTGTAGTCATTAACTATCATTGTTGGGTCGTTGGGGGCACCCTTACTTGGCTAATGAAAATGTTTCGGGCGGAGATTTGATTAGATTACCATAATAAAAGACAAGAGCCCACAACAAATAGTGAGAGCTGGATGACGTAGGACTCCCATGAGCAGCGGCCATAAAATCTTCTGCATCTCATTCACACCACACGTACAGGATAATAAAAGCGTGAAAAAAAAAAAAGAAAAAGTAATGAAGGAAGATGGCAGTGTCAATGTTGACACTGACTTCAACTTGGTAGGTTTCACAGTTCATCACAAACTAAATGGATCAGAGAGAATCAATAAGAAAGCATGATGATAAAAGAGGCTAGTTTCAAACAATAGTATTTGCCATTGCCGTGCTAGCTAAGTTTGAAACAACTTAGGTAGATAAATGCAGGGAGTGTGAATGGGGGGAAGTACTCGAGTTAAGAAATGAAAGGAAAGGAAAGAAGAGTGGTGCAGGTTAAGTCTCGGAATTAAACAGTGAGTAGTGGGTAATGGAGATGAAGATGCGCCCTATGGGCTGGGCTAAATGGATTGACAGCTACGTTTTGTGGGGCCCGAAAGCCCACCACTACTGTATTGGGATGTCATTCAGTTTCTCACCTCATTCGTTTCTTATCTCGATGAACTGGCTTTTGGTGGAGTCTCCGTCTGATAGGCTTCGTTATTTCTACACTTATCAGATCACCATCGTCCTTGGACAGCTCCAAAAACCTACATGTGAATGTGAGCTTTCACAGCCTTTTTCCCTTACTACTAATTATGGCATGTTACACGGTTTTAATACTGGTCAATGCTAATATTAATATCTTTACTTTATCTTCATACCGTCTTTCACTCTTCTTCTGTGTTGTTGTGGGTAACCAATTTTCCAATGCTTGATTGGATAAGACTCTGGGCAGAGGCTGGAAACTTGAGGTATATTCCTTGGTTTTTTAGAAAAAGAAAAAAAAAACCCAGTAGCCGCTAACTTAATTGGTTTTGACGATTTGTACTTGATATAATAGTTTATGTTTAAACTTAATCGGTTACTTGAATAGTGTTAAGAAAACTATAATTTTAAGTTTATAATTGATTTTCACATGTATTTTTACAGACTCATAGTCTTGTTTTTCAGAAATTTTTTTAATAGCATGTTTTTCAAAAATTTGATTTGAAGTGGTGGGGCTATTTTTGTTATGGGTTTGAACTTGTAAGCTGTAACTGGGCGTAATTTGGGCTTGGGCAGTACACTGAGCACGCATAGCCGAACCAGTCTTCTATGTTATTCACTGAAGGTTTACTTTACTCATTGAGATCTCAATCCCCTCTTGATTTTTAATTTCATGTTGTTTTTGGGCTTGACACTCTTTATAGCAGAGAAAAAAAACATGCTCCAACTGGCTACTTTAGGGGAGGGGGACCAAATTGCTTCACCTGGTTTGACTGCCTGAGTTTGATTTGTTTTTTTTTTTTTCATTGACTTGTGCATCTCATTTATTTTTATTTATTGTGAATCCTTGAGATCATCGATTACCTTGGCATAATAAAGCAGGTTGGTATTGAGATGATCGAAGCAGTACTGTTGGGTTTCCCCTTCAGCGAGGGTATTTTAATATTGGAAGGATAATAATTAAGTCTAAAAAACTTAAATTAATGCAGTTAAATTTTTGACAATTTTTTGAAGAATAAATTAAAAACATACACTAAAAAAAAAAGAAATTTAAATCTTAAATATAACTTTTATAAGTATCTTTAAATTAATATTTATAACTTATTTTTTAAAAAAATAAATTGAAATTTAACTGTCATTTTCTTTTTGATATTTTACTTTTTTTTAATTAAATATAAAAGAGTAAAAATTCTTCTCAGCATTTTTACAATCATTTCAAAGCCACTTTTCAAAGATATAAGTGTTTAGTTTTTCCCCCCTCATTGAAAGGCATTTAATCCTTTCGCCCAAATCAATCTCTGTTTGTACTTTTTTTTCAAGTCACATTTATAAAACTGTACCTATTAATTGTTAAAACGTGACTTTTTACAAAATTCAATGAAATACAATGGCATATTTTTAAAAATGCACTTGTTTTATTCTATTCTTAACTTTAATAGTGAATTAAATTAAATTAAATGCTCCATTCATTTAAAAATATAATATATATTTTTAGGAGTTGGATGTTAAAAAATGTAAGATATTTTTTATTTTTTCAAGTGTAAACATTACTTTTTTTTAAAAGTATCCCCGTTGATAATAACTTTATATTTATTGTAGGATGTTTAATAGGAATAAATAAAAAAAATAGAGTTAATTTGAAATTAGTTAACTACTTTATTGGAGGTGAAATTTAATTAAAAATACTTTATATTTTTAAAAGAAGAGTATATAGTTTTAAAATATTTGACATTTAACTGATTTTGACAAATTTTTCCAACATTAGAAAGGCAGTTAAAATGGCTTTATAAAAAAAAACCATAATATTCAATTAGACGTGGGAGAGTTCATTTTGAGGTTTGTGAGACCTGAAGGATGCAAGTGAACAGTATTACCATAATTTTTTGTTGATAAATTTGAGTAGTTAATCCATTTTAACTCTCTTTGTATGTGGGATAGGGCCGTGGAGGGAGTGCAAGCAATTCAAGTCGCTCTGATTATCAATACCGGCCAAGAGTCAGTATTCTACTGGATATGAAGAATTAATATTTCTATTAATTTTTTTGGGTAAAACTAATATTAATATTAATATCAACGGCCAGTTAATTTTTATAAGGATCAAAGTTTCTTTTGACCGAAACAAGTGCTATCCACAAAGGTCAACATTTACTTGGTTTGTCTGTCTGTCTGTTTGTTTGTTTTTTTTTTTGGGGGGGGCGGGGATCTTCTCTGTGGCTGCAAAAGTGCAAATGGATTTTCTGGCACTGGGCAGATACACTATTTGACACTTCGATAACCGTCGTCCAAAGCAATTTACAGGGCAAGGTAGGTGCCATAGCGTTGGGTTGATCAGGGGAATTGCTTGCGAGAGTATGGATTATCTGGGCATTGATGTGAGCTGCGCTGTGGGATCTCTCCGCCATGGCCACTTTCCAGACAAGGAGTGCTTGCTACCTCTTATTTCCAAGCTCCTCGGCTATGCCATCGTCGCCGCTTCGACTACCGTCAAACTTCCCCAGGTACGCCCGTCTTTTTATATTCTTAGTTGTCGATTTTCAGAGTGATTAGAAACCCTAGAACCCACACTGATCCTCTTATTGGATCTCTTACCCGGGTTTCGCCAGTGATATTTGCCCACAACTTTTAATTATGATTACTCGACGGTAAAAACAACGTTGCTGACCCTATCTCAGTAGTTAGTATTGCGATCTGCTTCCTGAACGGTAAATCATTAGTAATTTAGTGGATGTGTCTGTTTAAAATATCGGTACCGAGCAATTATTTCATTCGTCGCATTATTATATTTTTGTCCTTATTTGTTGAAAATATTGACTTGGTGCCGTTGGGGTAGTCATTAGATTTTGCCACTAAGAACTGCTTAAACAAGTCTAGTTTTTTAGGCAAGATTTCCAACCATCTTACAATACCGTTATGTTAATCTTGTGAACTGCAGATTTTAAAAATTCTGAATCATAAAAGTGTCAGAGGCCTTAGCATGATATCTTTCGAGCTCGAAGTTGTTGGCTATACCATAGCACTAGCCTACTGTCTTCACAAAGGGCTTCCGTTTTCAGCTTATGGGGAGCTATTGTTTCTTTTAATCCAAGGTGTACTAGCATTTTCTGCATTTTTAATTGCACATATTTGTCGTGTATCCTTTTTTCCATTGATCCTGCACATTACTGTATGATATTATACATACACATGTAACACAACTTTGTCATGTAGTTATGATGTAATCTTAGAGGAAGATCTGACGCTCTGAAATTAGTGTGTTACTTGTAATACGCCAATATGTATATTTAGAAAGCTCTTATTTGTTATGAATTGCTTTCTTGTTCTGTGACATTGTCAATGGAATCTGACATGCTCCCTTCTATTCTTGTCTGATACAGCTTTAGTTTTGGTTGCTATAATCTACTACTTTTCTCAACCCATGGGTACCAAAACATGGATCCGAGCGTTACTGTATCCTACTTGCCTACAGAGGCACCAAGTTTTTATCTTCTCATTATGCAAGGTAAATTGATATGTTCGACCTTGTCCTTGATACATGGTTTTCAGATATTGTGCTGTAGCACCCACTATCTTGGCTGGTCAAATCAATCCTCTTCTCTTTGAAGCTCTGTATGTGAGTAGTCAACACTTGTGCACTGGAATTTTTTTCACTTGAAAGTCATGCGCTCATGTATTGTATAGTTCTCTACTTCTTATTTCAATTTTTTATGCCCATATTTCCTTATATGATTTCATTTGTTGCAGGCATCTCAGCATGCAATTTTTCTC